TCATTCCCGGGATCATTCCCGGGATCCGCCGCTGGCCCGGAGCCTCCGCGGGCTCTCCCTGTCGGTGCCGCGGTGGTGCCGGGAGCCCGCGGGGGCCCCGGAAAAGCTGGAAAAGCTGGAAAAGCTGGAAAAGAAGGCGGGAAAGGCGGGGAAGCCGCGCTTGGTGATCACGGAGCAGCCGAAGCAGCGCGGGATGCGATTCCGCTACGAGTGCGAGGGGAGATCGGCCGGGAGCATCCTCGGGGAAAACAGCACCGACAGCACCCGCACCCTGCCCAGCATCGAGCTCAGAGCCGGGAAAACCGGGAAAAAACGGGAAAAAACGGGAAAAACCGGGAAAAAACGGGAAAAAACGGGAAAAACCGGGAAATCCCAAAAAATCCCGGTTTTTCTAGCCCGGAAATCCTCCAAAAGCCCCGAAAATTCCGTTTTTTTAGCCCAGAAACTCACCCGAACTCACTAAAATCCCCATTTTTTATCCCAGAAATCCTCCAAAAGCCCCGAAAATTCCGTTTTTTTAGCCCAGCAACTCACCCGAACTCACTAAAATCCCCATTTTTTATCCCAGAAATCCTCCAAAAGCCCCGAAATTCCCGGTTTTCTCCTAGAAATCCTTGGTTTGGGAAGGATTTAGGAGGTTTGGGATGGATTTTGGGGAGGTTTGGGATGGATTTTGGGGAGGTTTGGGATCGGCCGGGAGCATCCTCGGGGAAAACAGCACCGACAGCACCCGCACCCTGCCCAGCATCGAGGTCAGAGCCGGGAAAACCGGGAAAAAACGGGAAAAAACGGGAAATCCCCAAAAATCCCGGTTTTTCTAGCCCAGAAATCCTCCAAAAGCCCCGAAAATCCCGGTTTTTTTAGCCCAGAAACTCACCCGAACTCACTAAAATCCCCATTTTTTATCCCAGAAATCCTCCAAAAGCCCCGAAATTCCCGGTTTTCTCCTAGAAATCCTTGGTTTGGGAAGGATTTAGGAGGTTTGGGAAGGATTTAGGAGGTTTGGGAAGGATTTAGGAGGTTTGGGATGGATTTTGGGGAGGTTTGGGATGGATTTGGGGAGGTTTGGGATCGGCCGGGAGCATCCTCGGGGAAAACAGCACCGACAGCACCCGCACCCTGCCCAGCATCGAGCTCAGAGCCGGGAAAACCGGGAAAAAACGGGAAAAAACGGGAAAAACCGGGAAAAAACGGGAAAAAACGGGAAAAACCGGGAAATCCCAAAAAATCCCGGTTTTTCTAGCCCGGAAATCCTCCAAAAGCCCCGAAAATTCCGTTTTTTTAGCCCAGAAACTCACCCGAACTCACTAAAATCCCCATTTTTTATCCCAGAAATCCTCCAAAAGCCCCGAAATTCCCGGTTTTTCCCAGTGATTTTTCCCAGTGATTTTTCCCGCACCTTTCCCTGATTTTTTTCCCCATTTTCCCCGCATCTTTCTCTGATATTTCCCCGATATTTTCCCGATTTTTCCTGATTTTTCCCGATATTTTCTCCTACCTTTTCCTGATCTTTCCCGGTGTTTTTTCCCATATTTTCCCCCAATTTTTCCCACACTTTTCTCTGATATTTCCCCCCGTATTTTCCCGATTTTTCCCGGTGTTCTTTCCCATCTTTTCCCCCGATTTTTCCCACACTTCTCCCGGTGTTTTTCCCGATATTTCCCCCTACTTTTCCCGATTTTTCCCCATATTTCCCCCCATATTTTTTCCCGATTCTCCCATTTTTTCCCGCTGTTTTTCCCGCTGTTTTTCCCGCTGTTTCCCCTGACCTTTCCCGGTTTTTTTCCCGCTGTTTCCCCTGACCTTTCCTGCTGTTTTTCCCGCTGTTTCCCCTGACCTTTCCCGGGTTTTCCCGATTTTTTTCCCTCTGTTTCCCCTGACCTTTCCCGTTTTTTTTCCCTCTGTTTCCCCTGACCTTTCCCGCTGTTTTTCCCGCTGTTTCCCCTGACCTTTCCCGGTTTTTCCCGCTTTTTTTCCCGCTATTTCCCCTGACCTTTCCCGGTTTTTCCCGCTGTTTTTTCCCGCTGTTTCCCCTGACCTTTCCC